CCCACGGCTGCACACACACACACACACACACCCACCCACTCTGCCCACAGCTGCACACACAACACATACACCCACACCCAGACACCCCCACGACACACACACCCTACCAGGCAGCTCCGTTCTCCCCACTCCTACAATGCAGCTGTGTCACATGGTACTGACAGTGCTGGCAGGCAGGGAGTGCAATTGTTGGGGTAGGCAGGGCTGGGCTGTTCAGTCCTGCGGAGGCTCCCACTACTGCCCTTGGCTCCTATCAGCTTTGAAAGGAGCTGGGGCAACTCAATACAGCATTAAAGCCTAAAGGCTCCCTCCGCCTCCGGCTCCCTGCCTGAGGGGGCAGGGCCATGCAGCCAATTGCTACCCACCTTCTCTGGGGTGCATGCACAGTTGGTCCCCAGCGTTAGGGACAGATAGACACACTAACGGAAGTACTAAGACTTTTATTATATTGGAATAATTTTTTTTTAATGGTGTTATTTTGTTACATATTTATAATACTAGTTATACATTGAGATAATCTAAGACTACTGCTCACTCATTAGGACAAATTCTTCTCAGTTAAACTGGTATAATTTGACTGATTTTGCTTGAATTACTATAGATTTAACTATAGATGGCACGTATATTCTTAGTTTTATTGGTAATAAGAAGAGACCTAAATAGTGTGGTAACAGTCTATGCATTCTGGCCCACAGATCTCAGACAATGCACTTCTATATCCAGTTCTGGAACTCTGGAGAGGCCCCATTGGCCTCTCCAGAGTAGACACAGCAATCTGTGGTGAATTGTATGGTGGCTTTATAATTAAAGCCAGATTTGAACGCCAGTATTGAGAGGCCAAATGTTAATGTATTAACCTAATTCACTAACATTGCCCCCAGTAAATTGTTCTTAAATATTTCTCAGGTTCTTTGTTTAGACTGCATGGAGAGTTAAATGTTCCAACTCCAAAATACTATGTATAAGGGGAATAAGTGATGAAATGAGACTGATAAGGTAAATAACATTGTTTAAATTAACACAACAAAGAAAGGTCAACGTATTTTTATTTGGAAAGCTTAGATTAAAGTAAAAAATATTTCATGTGTCACTTAGTAGAAGCTAAGATTATTTTAGCCAAAGAGGGTATTGTTGAGCTTTGTACTCGACTAAAGTTTGTGAATAAATGTTTAGTGCCTCAAAAATAATTTCACTAGAGAAGGGACCGACAGCCTAAGAAGTGCCCCTTACTGCCTAGCTAAATTTGCACCAAATGCAGAGAATCTCTGGTTTACAGAAGAATGCTTGGAACTACCACAAAATAGGAAGTGCAAATTTAGGCTAGAACCTAATATAAACAGTTCCATCATAAAGGGTCCATCATGAAAGACCAATGCAAAAAAAAAAATGCAGAAAAAAGACCATGAAATCAATGAGAATTAACCACATTCATGATTTCATTATTTCTTTATGCATTCCTTATGTTTATCAAACTGTCTTCTCTTTCAAATCACTGCTTTAAAATTTATTTTCTCCCTCTTCCAGGTCCTTCAAGTCCTTACAGAAACCTTTACTATTTTTCCATTTTTGAGATCCAAACATTGTTTTTATTTTTCTTATCAGGATTTGTTCACTCATTTATGCAGTATTTTGATTAACTCCAGATGAGCTGCAGTATTTTAAATATTGTGCATTACCCAGCCACTGTTGGAAAAGCCTCAGAAGTCTGAATTGTACGTGTTTTAAAATCATGAAGAGCAATATGGTTCTTATTCTTATGTCAAATTTTTATCCTTTAAGAAATCAAAATTGAAAATATTGTAAAAAGAAAAAATTGCTTTCATTTCCACTAACCTGAAAACTCCTGAATTTGAGAATCTTCCACTTCAAACAACAACTCATCATGAATTTGGGCAATTAACCTGAAAAGAAATGCACTGTTACAGAGCTTTGAGATGTCTTTGGCATTATGCTCCTAACTGTGATAGCACAAAATACTTCAATTCAGATCACTGTGCAAGCTTTGCCATGATAAAAATGCAGGTATGAAAATGAATTAAATCACCCCTAGAAAATAAAGACATGTCTTTTGCATTTTTTAACATGTGGACCAAGTCTTCCATAAAAACTTTTACTGACATAGCTGACAGTCAGGGATGTAATGGCAATATTTATGACCAACTTAGTTGTGTTGGCATAAGCCCTAGTACACACACACTGCAGCGTTGTATCTTATTTCATTCAAGTTGGAGAAATAGGGGAGGAATAGGGTATTGTAGCAGAAGCACTGTTACACTGATATAAAGTGTGCAGCATTAGGACCACCATCACAGAGTGTACAAATGGAAGGGACCTTGAAAAGTCATCTATCCAGACTATTCCCCTGATCCAAAACAGAATCAGTTCTGCTTAGGCAATTTCTAACCAGTGTTTGTCTAACCTCCTCTTAGAAACTGCCAGCAATGGAGATTCCTGACACCAGGGGTGGCCAAACTGCAGCATGCATGCCACAAGTGGCACGGGCAGCTGTTAAGTGGCACAAGACAGATTGGGGAAGGGATAAAGCAGGGCAAGGGAAGATAGGGCAGGAAGCAGAAATGAGAGAAGCAGGCTGTGTAATGAGCACAGAGCAGGAAACAGAATGAGCAGCAAACCAGGCAGGGAACAGAAAGGGCAAAGAAGAGAAAGCAGAGCAGCAGATCAAATACAAGGAGAGGATTGGAGTGCATGCTAGGAGGGTGTAGGACTAATTTTTGGCATGCCTACCAAAAATGTTGGCACTCACTGCCTTAAATAACCTATTCCAATGCTCAACTATCCTTACGTTTAGTTCATATTTCTGATAACTAACCTAAGTCTTCCATTTCAGAATTTAAACCTATTACCTTTTGTCCAGTCCCCAACGGACAAGGAGAACAATTTATAAAACGTTACTCTTTGCAACAGTCTTTACATATTTGAAGATGTCTTTTCTCTAGACTAAACAGCTTTTCCTCATAGTTTTTATTTTCTAGACACTAGATTGTTTTGGGAGAGACCTGTGGATTCTTTTCAACTAGTCCACATACACCTTGAAGCAGTGTGTCCAAAAGTGAACAAAAAACCCCAGCTGAACACTTACCAATGTAAGGATTACTTCAAATATCTTGCATGTGATACTTGTTTACAGCTCTCATACCATTTTTTTTCACAACTATAGAACACTGTTGACTCATGTTTGGTTTGTAATCTGTGGTCATCCCTAACACAGTCTCTGCAAACCTACTGTCTAGCCAGTTTTTCTCCAATTTGTATTTGTAGAGTTGATTTTTCCTATAGAAAGTCTTGTACTTTGCATTTGTCTCTGTTGAATTGCTTCTTATTTGAGGCAACTTCTCAAGATAATTTGGAATTCTAATCTTGTCCTTCCAAGAGCTTGCAAACCCTCCCCACTTGGTGTTGCCTGCAAATTTAATGTATACTCCATCACACCATCCAAGTAATTGAATATTGACTAGTACCAGACCCAGGACAGATCTCCCTAAAATCCCACTTAATGCTGCCTTTCAGGTTTAGAGTGAGCCACTGACATGTCTTTGCACATGGTTATCCATCCAGTTGCATACCCATCTCACTAGTTCCATCTGGACATATTTACCTAATTTGCACATGAAAACAGCATGTTGGATAGTGTCAGATGACTTACTAAAGTTCATATATTTTACATCTATTTTAAAATATATCCAAAAGGCCTGTTAGCCTGGCATAGAAGGAAACTAAGTTGGTTTTACATGATTTGTTCTCAACAAATCCATGTTTGCTGTTACTTATGACCTTGTTATGTTCTAGGTGCTTACAAACTGGTTGTTTGTATATTTATTTTAACGTCTTACTGGGACTGGTTGTTAGGATGGCTAGTCTATAATTCCTCACTTTTTAAAGATAGACTCTATTTCAGCCACTTCTAGTGTCTGTTGACTTATATGTGTCTTGAGCCTATTACATTAGGCTCCCAAGGAGAGCTACCTTCTCCTCTGCTTCCATTTTCCCTTAAATAAATTCTCATAATTTCATGTGTACTTACTTAATCCCTCTTCCATCTCTCTCTAATCCCGTGTTAACACCTTCTTTACCGTCATAAAACCTAACGCCCACATACCCCAAAGATCTTTTTCCTAAAAAAGTCAGTAGGTGCAAGACTATATACAGAAGACTGTTCAACACAGGAGTGAAAGAAGTTACATTTTATATATTACCAGCATCGTAACAATCACTATCAGTTGGTAGAGAGAAGCAGTCAGCCATATTAGACTGAAGTCAGGCAGAAAGCAGGACAGGGTGGCATTTAAGAACAGTGATCCTTAAATGTTGTTAGACTCAAAGCACTCCTCAAAAAGTGCCAGTAATAATAAAGCAATTCTTCTGTTACAAAAAACCTCAGGAAAACAACAACATGTTCTATGAATCCTAAAGATTCATATTTGAAAATCTCTGAATATCTTGCAAATCAAATGTAGGTGTCTGAACATCTAACAGTGAGGCTAATAATGAGCAGCACCCTAGTTGAGAATCACTGCCTTAGGCTAGGGACAGCCATTCAAAAAGCCTGAGCCTGAATTGATTCAATCTTTGCAGGTTCATCTAACCTGGCTAGGCTGAATCAGTTTATATTCATGCAAACATCCCAGAAATGCAGACACATGCCTGCAGTGGCTCAGGCTAGAAGCCGGGGGGCGCTAAAGCAGCCCTCCCTTCCCTTCAGTAGTGCTGATCTGAGGGTGGCCAGGCCCCAGCCGGATGCTCTGATTAGAAAAGGGTTTCCCTCCCCTCCTGACTGGCCCAGCAAGCTGTTGGTAACAGTGTTTATCACCCCTAACTCAGCGTTTATGAGCCCATTAAGAAAATAACAGAGGGACATTACCAGCTACTCGTTGATTCTGTCTTTGTCCCGTCTGCCACAGCACAGACCATAGCCAGCATGTAGTCTGCTGGCTAATGCTGAGAGGTGTCTATGTAAGGCACTCAGGGGTCTGGGACAGACATTACATAAACCGGTTTGACCCAAATCAGTTAAGTCTGATACTACTGCATTCAACCAGATTTATCTCAAACCAGTTTCAGCCATTTTAAAACTGGTTTGTGCACTGAACATCTGTTCTGTTACAGGTTTAAACTAGTTTCTGATCACTTAAACCAGTTCGTGTGTAACATCTGTCCCTAGCCTTAGAGACTACCTGGTTCAAAGAAGCATAAGCTTACTTCATCAGATGCTATGAAGTAGCTGACACATGCTATGCTATGAAACATCTGACAAAGTAGGCTGTCACCTATGAAAGCTTCTACCTCTTAAGTGCCACACTGCCCTGCCTTCTGCCAGCTGGTAGCAACTGACTGCCAAAAGCAGTCTACCATGTATTCATTGCTATGACTGCAACATAATGTTGGCATATCTGAGCAGGATGTAAACTAGACAGTTCAAATTATGGGTAAGTGTGGCTACAGAAGCACAGAGCTCAGTGCAGGCTGCAAAAGCTACTTAAACGATTGGGTAAATACTCAAGACTACTTGAGATATTGAGTAAATATTCAGCTAAGCTCTGTGCTGCTGCAGCTACACTGCTTCTGGAATCCAAAATGACTAGCTTAAGCTAGTTTGGGGAGATCTACAATACGATCAGTCCCTGAGACTCCTGCAATTACTTAGGAAACATACCTGCCTCAACAGTTGCCTTGTTCTGACCTCCATTCCTCCCTTTGTCCATTTAATTGTTGTGTAGTGCTTAAATCTTAGACTGTGAACTCTCCAGCACAGGGATTGGTTTTTCTTATTCATTTACTCAGAGTTTAGCAGTGAGAACCTAATCCTCATTTAGGGTGCATTCACACAACCACAGCAACAATAATTAATACAACAAATTCTACTGAAGCATTTCCAAAGCAGAAAGGATTGAATCTGGCATATGTATTCTTTGAGTCAAACTCCCACGCACATGCCAGAAGTAGCAGCTAAAGTAATGTTCTATTAGATCATATTGCAGTCCTATCAAATTTACTCTATCTCTTGGAGTTATTATATTTCTTTTTAAAAAGCCAAATGCCACCTTTATTCTCCATTTCTGAGCAATTCACATATTACATGTAAAATTCTATACCCACTATATAGTTTTATTAAGAACTAATAAGTTTTCAAGTAAGTTATTTCTTCAGACATGACTGAAACATTAAAATAGCTACTACTTTTAACAGCTTTAGGGAAAATATCCTAAAAAAGTTTCACACTGCTTTAAAATTACAATGTGACATTTACTAACAGTGTGGTGAGATCTAATAATAGATCTTAAATTATTAGTCACATCACAATCAGAAGAAGAGTGAAACAGATTAACATATTTCTTAGAGAAAACTGGGACACAGGATACAGAAAAAAAATGGAGGGGAAAAGAGTGATCATCTGTATCAAGAGAACACAGCTAGATGAAAAGTTATAATTCACAATATAAATAAATTAATCATAGTATTAGCTGCCTCTCCACTATTCAGATGAAATATTAAAAGACACAAATCTTTACTTATAAAACTTCTGGTTCCACTGTAATTCAATACAGTAAATGAAAGTTATTAACCATGATAAATATGTTGAAAACAACACAATATATACGGGTTATTATTTGTATTTTGTATTTATGGTAGGTAGCTACTGCCCCAGAGCTTGAATATAAATACAGTGGGATTCAGTCCCTTCACAGATAAGCGAAATAGAAAAACAGAACAAAATGGTATTATCCCCTTTTTACCAATGGTGTGCACAAAGAGATGGCTAGAATTTCCAAAAATGTTCAGCATTAGCCCAACTTCTCCTACTGAAGTGAATGGCAAAACTGAATTCAGTCAAATCAGACCAATTCTGGCACGGGCATATTTTGGCAAAGGGTGAGTGCCCTAG